ATCTAAAGTTGTTTCTGAAATTGATGATAATAAAAGTAATTAAATTTTATTATGATTAATTAATCAACTGAGATTTTCTAATTTTTTTAATTTTTCAATTAAAATTAGATTCTTATGGTAAAGAAAATGATTTAGAAATGATGGATGTGGTTGATGAAATTAGCAAGATTAATGAAATTGCATAATGGAACCAAGGTAATATTTAAGTAAATGTTTAAGAAATGAATAATTAATGAAATTTTATGTATTTTTAAAACAGTTGAAATTAGCAATAAAATCTAACAATAATCCAATTAAACTTTTTACTGGTAAATTTATTAAGTTTATTTTTTATTTATTATTTTTTATTTTTTATTTATAATAACTTATTTATTTTATTAGTTGAAGTTAAGGATTTGGTCACAACTGAAGGCAATTATTATTATTATTTGGTTTATACTGTATTCTATATCCTAAAATTATGATGTTGGGTGAATTATCAATGGATGATTAATTATTTACATTAATATCAATTATTTATTATGTATTACTATTATTATTTATTCCTTTAAATAGCAAATAAATAAATTATACAGATTTAAATATTTAAATAATTCTATATGTATCTTTTTTTAAAAATAAAAATTTGCCATGTCTGTCTCTTTCTTAATTAATATAAACATTTTTGATTGTTAACATTGGCAATTAGATTCACTTAACCAAACTGCTATGACTTCAATAACTCTTGACCTTATCAAAATACTTTTGCACATTGATTACCATATTCAGTCCTAAAATTTCTAAGCTGTCTTTTCAGAACTTTTTTTAAAATGGTGGTTGCATGCAACTTGTCATTTTAGTTAAATTCCCAATCCTCCTGTCCTCATACATTGATCAACTTGCACAGTAGTAGCAATAAAAAAAGATTCAATGCTGTTTGTAACAGAAGGAGTTTAGTGTCATCCTCAAGGATAAAGATTACAAGGGTTTGAATAGAACTTTGATTGGAAAGAAATAAAGTCTATAATCTACAAAGGACTTAAAATATGACAAATTGAGAATAATGGTGGATCAAGACCCATGATGGCTGCCATACCAAAGGCTTGATCATTCAATTCTTTATTATTAAAACTATCAGGTTTTTTAGAAGAATTGTGCTTGTGTTTATTTCTGTATTTTGTCCTACATAATAAAAATACTCTGAATTTCCATAAAAGGGATTTTGATTTAAATTTTTTTTTTATAATAATTCAAAAAAAAATGTCATTTCGAAATTTCTTGTCATTATTATCATTAGACAGAGAAGATTTTGTGATTAGAACTTATGATGAATTATATGATAATTCTATATCAATTGCAAATGATATTTATGATAATACTTCATCAAACACATCTCTCAGAGAAATTCATAAGGCTAAATTTTTATCATTAGTAACTGAAAATGAAAAGCTTTCAGAAAATGAAAAAGAATATTGTAAAAAAAGTTATATTTATGATTTTGAATTAGAAAATGCAACTTATAAATGGGGTGAATTAAAAGAATGTAACAAGTGCAAATTAGGCAGATATTCAGACAGATTTTGTGAAAACTGTATTTGTTTACATTTACAGAAGCTTTTTGATACATGGTCATCTGGAAACAGCATCATTGATAATTTTATTCAAGAATGTCAAAAGCTCTCATCTCTTCCTACACATATTATGGAATGGATCCCATTTGATCAATTTGAAGGAGTGAAATATTTAACCAAAGGAGGTTTTGGTACCATTTATGTTGCCTCATGGAAAAAAGGGCGTATATTTGATTATGATGAAAATAAAAAAGAATTTATTTATCATGGATCTCAAAATGTAGTATTAAAACTGCTAAATAATTCAAATGAGTTGGGAAAAAAATTTTTTGATGAGGTCAGTAGTAAATTATTTTAAATTAAAAAATCATTATATTAAACATTATATTTAATTGATTTTCATATAATTTTTCAGGCATTAAATTATTGTAAAATTAAATCTGGAAGGATTATTCAATGTTATGGTATAACTAAATTCCCAGAAAATAACAACTATGCAATAGTCCTAAATTATGTTCCAGAAGGAAATTTAAAAGATTATTTGCAAACAAATCATTCAAATTTAACTTTAAAAGATAGAATTATAATATTCACATATTTATGTGACTCATTAAATGATATACATCAGCAAGATTTAATACATTGTGATTTACATAGTGGTAATATTCTAGTACAAAACAATGCTTGTTTTATCACAGATTTAGGATTATGTGGGCCAGTTGATGATGAATCATCAAACAAAATATATGGAATTGTATCATATATTGCACCTGAAGTTCTTCGAAAATCAAGCAAAAATACAAAAGAGTCAGATGTATATAGCATTGGAATGTTGATGTGGGAGATATTTTCAGGACATCCACCTTTTGATGATAGAGCACATGATCATTATTTGATTATAGACATTTGTAATGGTTTAAGACCACCAATTTTACCAAATATGCCAAAAGAATATGCAGAGATGATGCAAAAGTGTTGGGATGTTGACCCATCTAGAAGACCAACTATTAGTGAACTTTCTAACTTTGCTAAAGATTATTCAACAAAACTTTATAAAATTGAAGATTTAAGTAATGAAATTATAACTTCTACTACTAGCAATTCAAATAATAATAATTCACAACAAATACAAAAATCACATCCATTTGCATATCATTCAAGCAGAATATTAGATGATGATATTGTTAGATATATAAGTTTACAACATGAACTTGAACTTGGTCCAGTATCCAAAGTAATTGACTATTCAAGCAGAATATTAGATGATGATATTGCTAAATATAAAAGTTTACAAAACAAACTTGAACTTGGTGCAGTATCTAAATTTGTTTCTGAAATTGATGATAATGAAATTAAATTAAATTCTATTATGATTAATTGTTTACTAATTTTTAATTTTTCAATTAAAATTAGATTCTAGTAACAATAACAATGGTAAAGGAAATGATGTAGAAATGATGGATGTGGTCAATGAAATTAATGAGACCAATGAAATGATTGTGGAATGGAATCAAGGTAATATATAATGATGTTTAAGTAAAATTTTAAGGAATGAATAATCAATGAAATTTATGTATTTTTAAAACAGTAGAAATCAGCAATAAACCTAACAATGATTCAATCAAACTTTTTACTGGTAAATTTATTTTAAGTTTCCTTTTTATCTATTATTCTTATTTATAATAATTATTTATTTTATTAATTAAATATTAGTTGAAGTTAAGGATATTGTCACAACTGAAGGTAGTTATTATTTGGTTCATATGGTATTTTATATCCTGACTAAATTTTTTATTATCAATTTTAGAAATTATGATGTTGGGTGAATTATCAATGGATGATTAATTATTCACATTAATTTCGATTATGATTTAGCATGTATTATTATTATTTTAAATAACAAATAAATAATTTTATGGATTTAAATATTTAAATAATCCTATATGTATCTTTTTTCAACATAAAAACGAAAAAAATGCCGTGTCCGTCTCTCACAAATTAATATTTTTACATACATCCATATCCACCTTTTTTATTGTTGCCAATTTTGCATTGTGCATTGTTTTCTTTGCTATGCGACACTCTTCTGATTTATTTTATTAAGGAGAGGTTCTTTATATGTATATATTCGATTGATCTCTGAGATTTTTGTTGATTTACTAAAAAAAAATTAAAAGGATGCAATTCAAACAATCTTTTTTAATAAATATCTTTTTTTTTTAATTAACAAATTAATTAATCAGTATACAATATAGGAATTAGACATTCTCCCTCAATAAATCTTCTTTTTTAAACAATATTAAATTATTTTATATTAGAAAATCAGTCAGTATGTACTACTACTTTTTAAAAAAGTTCTATTAGATTTTTCCGTATATAAAAATATTAAATTATCTCACACCTAAATGCTTATCACTGACGGGAACCAGATAAAATAGATTCAATTAATCCATTCAAAATCTTAAAAGGTTCACCACAATTATTGTTATATTGATATCAATGGATCCATCAATAATATTAATATAATCTAAGAAAAAGCAATACCTATTTTTGCATCTTTTGATATTCACTCAGTAGATTAGCAATCCTGTGACCTGAAACTAGTAGGAGTTTATGTTCAGGCTTAGTGTAGGTTCTCTCTCAAAATTGTTTCAAAAGGGTTTAGAGTCATCACACCATTAGTTAGCTATGTGGATCTTTATTTAAACTAATATAAAATCGTAGTCAAAAGTAACTTTTTTGGTTCCGCGGGGAATGACTTTAAATATAATAGAGCGATCAACGAGCTTTTTCTTCTTTTTTTACGAATAAATATTTCTTACATTTCATAAAATGAATGTGATCAAATTATCTATAGCACCTGAGTTTGAAATGCACATAGGAAGTCAATATTGGTATGCAGAGCAAGTTTTATATACATATGAGTTGATGCTTTGACTTTAAGGCTAACATTAATGTTAATAATAAAATAAACACGTCTTGAGCTGTCTTCAGTACCTGAATTTGAAACGTACATAGACTGGTAAATGTAGAACGACTTACATAATAATATAAGATACAGTAAATTTGTTTTCCAAGAAAGTAACCAAAATTCAAAGCCACGTTATAAAAATTATATCGGAGGGTCAAGAGATTTTAAACTATTACATATAAAAACAAGTCTAATAAACGAATTATGTTATTCGAATAATAAACGAATGATAACAATTCAAACAAAACGAATGATTTGAATAATTCGAACGAAAATTTTTATTACGAATAGAAACTCAACTCTATTGCAGAGTCACTAAATAATGTTCAAACTAAGCTAAAATATACAACTACACTGCTTGAGGCGTCCCTACATGCAATATAGTAAAACTAACAAAAGGGGTCTCTAACTAATAATTAAATGTTGGCCAAACCATTAATCATCAGAAAGGGTTATGAATCAATCAATCGTGCCAGATTTATTAATTAATGAAAGTGTCATTATTGAAAGATCAATTATTTTTTAATTTTTTTTTCACTAAAGGAGATTCCAAACATATATATACTTCTTGAAGTATTACAAATAACATGATTTTGTCCAATAAAATAAAATAAAATAGAATGATAAATGATGATTAATTGACAATTACTAAAAGTTAAATGTCAAAAATGAGTCATTGGTGATGTCATGATTAAATGATACCTGATGAAATGTTTTTGTCATGATTAACAAGCTTATAACTGAGAACGCAATGTGAGCTTTACTGGGATGATCAGAAAGTAACTGTAGAAGTAGCACACAAGTATGGAGAAGAAATATCATCAGAAGATGATGATGGATCCGATTCGTCAGAATATGAAAGCTCAGATGCAGACGGAGAATTAGAAGTATTCATGTTGGAACAACACTCCAGAAAGACGTCCCCAATGGTAATAAGAGATGAAGAAGAAACCGAAGAAGAAACTAAAGAAAAAAACGCCAATTATGACGATGACACATACCCAGGAATCGTTGAAGCATACAACTTCACAATGGATAAAGTTAAAAGACCACTTACGACTATGAAGGAGGAGTGGCACATATTTCGAGGAAGACACTACCCATGTGAATGTGGAGAAGAAGACCATCATAACCATTTCCGATGCATATGGTGCAAAAAAATGTGCAAAGGTTCCCATCAAGGATGTAGATGCAACTGGGGAGAAAAGATACAAGCTTACAACCTAAAGGTAGAAACATAAGAGGAAGAAATAGACCAATTTGCAATTGATGTAGGAAAAGAACTTGACGAAGAACAAACCCAACAACTCTCTGATTTGTTGTACAAGTACCATGATATATTTGCTTGGGAGAAGTCCAACATTGGAAGAACCAACATGACTTATCATACTATAGATCTAACTGACTCGAGACCAATTAGACATCAACCAAGAAGAGTATCTCCTGATAGAAGAAAGTTTATCCAGGAAGAAATAAAAAGAATGCTAGACGCGAGATTCATTCGTGAATCAAATAGTGAGTATGCCTCAGGAGTTGTAGTAGTAGAAAAGAAAGGAGGAGACTTATGATTCTGTGTAGACTATAGAGACTTAAATAAAAAGACCAAGAAGGATTCTTATCCTTTACCAAGGATTGATGATACTCTAGAAACACTACAAGGATCACAATGGTTTTTGTCCTTAAATTCGGCAAGTGGATACTGGCAAGTAGAGATGAAACCAGAAGATATCCAAAAGGCTGCTTTCATCACACATCATGGACTCTTTGAATTTACAGTAATGCCTTTCGGATTGACAAATGTTCCTGGAACTATCCAAAGATTGATGGATGAAGTCCTCCGTGACTTGCTATGGAAATCAGTAGTAGTATACCTTGATGATCTCAACATCTTCTTGAAGACATGGAAGGAACATCTAGAACATCTAGAAAACGTTTTCGAACGTATACAAAAAGCAGTATTGAAACTCAGCCCACAGAAATGTCAATTTGGAAACACGGTGTTGAAATTTTTGGGTCACATAGTTGGAAATGATGGAATCAAGATAGATCCAACGAAGATAGAGAAGGTGCAAAACTTTCCTAAACCTATCAACGTCACTCAAGTAAGAAGTTTCTTAGGACTCTGCAATTACTATAGAAAATTTGTAAAGGGATTTGCAAAGAGATCTTCACCTTTAACAGAAATATTAAAGAAAGGAGAAGAGTTTAATTGGACAAATAGACAATAAAGGACTTTTAAAGTCTTGATCGAACAACTCACCACTGAGCCTATATTAGTATATCCAAACTGGAAGCAACCATTCATCTTATCTACGGATGCATCAACATTTGCTTTAGGAGCAATTCTTTCACAACTAGATAATAAAGGAAATGAAAGAGTGATTGCATATGCTAGCAGACAACTAAGTTCAGCAGAGAAGAACTATGCAGCAACAGAATTAGAATACCTCGGCATTATATGGGCTATAAAACATTTTCGTACATACCTTAGTGGATCCAAGTTTAAATTAATTACGGATCATGCAGCATTGAAGTATTTAAACAATATGAAAGAACCAAAAGGAAAATTAGCTTGTTGGATTATGACATTACAATCATACAATTTCGAAGTAGAACATAGTTCAGGAAAGAAGCATCAGAATGTAGATGCAATGTCTAGAATAAAAACGGGATACTGGGATTGATTTAATTAAATAGAACATTTTAATTAATTAGTATTATTTATATATATAATTTTATTCTCTTCTCATATATTATTTAACTTTCTTGCAGACATGATGGCTTGGTGGATGATCATGACAGTGATGCACGGATCTGGTTGGGGTGCATTACATTTTTTACACTTAGTACATTTTTTACACTTTACACTTTTATAAATTAGTATTATACTATCTTTATTTATTATTTATCCAGATTTAATCTTTCCAGAATCATCTACAGGTGAAGAACAAAAGAAAATAAGAAGTCAATCAAGATATTTTCTTGTCAGAGAAGGTATCCTATACAAAAAGAATAGGAAGAACCCTCAAAGACCCACCCCTTCGGGTGGTGAAATCAAATGAGGTAGAAATCATTTTACACAACTTACATGCCAATTCGTTGGCTAGACACTTTGGAATTGAAGCAACCTATCATAGGATTGCTGAAAGATTTTACTTTGCCTGTTTTGCAGGAGCTTGATTTAGAAGGAGGAGTGATGTTACCAGGATTAGATTTGGATGCTCTTTTGGCTGAATTTAATTAATTCCAAAATTCTTAATTTTTATTATTATTATATTTTATTTATTTCATTTTTTATAATCTTATTTTATTATTTTATCCATATTACATCTACCTTCGTAATACATTTTATTTTTAATTTTTTATTTATTAATTATTTGTATAATGTCATAATTTATTTAACTTTATTAAGGAAGAATCATCTTTCCATTATTTCAATTTTGAAATATTGTCGCAATTTTGAAATATTATTACAATATTGAAATAACTTTTCAATATTGAACGGAAATTTTTAATTTTGAAATATTAGAATTACTAATTAATTGAATTGTATATAAGGAGCTTGAATTCAATGTACATATGTAAACTCGATAAGTCAGTCATGTCGGGGCAGACCCCTGCGACCGACTTATCGAGAGAACCGACTTATCGAATTTCACGTGATTTTTTAATTTATTAAAATAAAAAATGTTAACATTGAAAATATATAATAATAAACATTGAACTCCCCTTTTTACTGCCACCTTTACTAGATGATCCTTCGGTGCTCATAATTATGGTTCTATAATGTGTGTTTTGAAAGGTTAATGTTAAGTATTTATTGTAAACAATTACAATTTTTTGAAATTTTTAAAATGTTTATTTATTATTTATATGTTATTGATTTTTTTATCTCAAACATTAGGTCGCGAAATCAACATAATAAAATTTTACAAGAATACGAATGTATTTTTCTTCAGACTACATCAATGATATAACTGATGATATAACTGATGATATATAACTAATGATATAAAAATGAGATAAAAAAATATAGATGTATTGTTCGCAATTAGACAAGAATGTTCTCCGAATTATTTGAATGATACAATTGATGATACAACTGCTGAGATAATAAAATATTAATGCATTATTCATGATAAGAATTAATGACACAATTGATGATATAACTGCTGAGATAATAAAATATTAATACATTATTCATAAAACATAATTGTAGTTCACAAGTGAGAATGCTCTCTTCCTTCTAAATTATAAATGAGATAATAAATGGATACAATTGATGACATAAAAATGAACAATAAAGAGTTTTTACATCAGATATTTTATTACAAATAATCATTTTGCTAATGATGAAATATTACAAATAAAAATTATTAGATCATATGTTACTAAAATAGTAATGATGACCCTTTACATAATGAGATATCATGTGAGAGTGACTTATCGTGATTCATTTAATTATACTTGGGCTAAGTGATTGACTGACTTAGCACTTATCGCGACTTTATATAGATTGACTGACTTATTGAATTTTTTAAATAGTAAAAAAACAGGGCGAAAATTTTTGGCTGAGTTAGGCCAAGACCAACTTATCGAGTTTATATATGTATAACAAACAAATCTTGGTTTTTACAACTATAATCTGTGCTTATTATTAATATTATTTATTAATATATAAAATTGTTACACAATCATCTAGACTTATATACATTGAAATTAATGAGAGTGAATATAACAAACAAATCTTGGTTTTTACTACTATAATCTGTGCTTATTATTTATATATAAAATTGTTACACAATCACCTAGATCTTATATGCATCGGAATTAATGAGAGTGAATATAACAAAACAAACCTTGATCTTACAAGTATAATCTGCTTATTATTAATATTATTTATCAATATATAACATTGTTACACAATCACCTAGATCTTATATATATCGGAATTAATGAGAGCGAATAGAACAAACAAACCTTGGTTTTTACAAGTATAATCTGTGCTTGTTATTAATATATAAAATTGTTACATGATCACTTAGATCTTATATACATCGGAATTAATGAGAGTGAATATAACAAACAAGCCTTGGTTTTTACAACTATAATCTGTGCTTATTATTAATATTATCTATTAAATATGTAAATAAAAGTCCTTCTAAATCATTATACTTGATGAATGTTTTATCAATTATTCATAATTTGCTATATTACACTCAGTGGACAAAAGTTTATGTCCAAAATTTTTCATGTATTTTTTTCAAAATTATACTAAATAAAATTTCATGATTTTTATATCATTTGAAAGCTCTGGTCCTCACAATTATATTCATTACCAATTTATTTCTTAAAAAAAAAAATGAAAATAAAAAGTGATCTAAAAATTGCAAAATGTCAATCATTTATTTATTTTGAAATATTTTTTTAATATCTGGTAGGCCACCCATTTTTGGCGATACACTCTTCTATTCTTCTAGACACACTATCAATTAAATTCAAATAAGTTTCATGGGGAATTTGTCGCCATTCCTGCTTCAAAAAAGTTTCCAATTCAGCTTTATTTTTTGGGCAATCAGGGTGTTGTTTTAACTTTCTACCAAGCTCATTCCACAAGTGTTCAATGGGGTTAAGGTCTGGAGACTGAGAAGGCCAGACCTTGAAGTTTTTCTTGGTCATCCATTTTTTAACATTTTTTGCTGTAGGGACAGGAGCATTATCATCTTGAAATTTGTAATGATTTGTATGCAAATTTTCTTGAGTGAATGGCAACAATTCATTCTCTAAAATGTTAATATAATCCTGATGCTTCATTTCCCCCTCTATTTTCATCAATGGACCTAAGCACTTGGCAGTAAAACAACACCAAACCATTATTCCTCCTACACCATGATTGGTGAAAGATTTTCAATGTTATAGTGTATTTTATTAATAGTTCCATAAGACCTATACTTATTACTAAGGTTGCTTGCCAAAACTCATCCAGAAATCAATCAGCAGGGTTTCGGCAGGTTACACATTAATTGTTTATGAGGTTTCGCCATTTTGGCATAGTTTCAACAGGATTTTTGATAAGATTTAATATAATTTTGCCATGGTTTCAGCAATTACTAAGGAGGTTTCGCCCACAACCTTACTTATTACTATTTTTTTTTATTTCACCCTGGATAGGTAATGGTGACAAAAAATATTTAGTATTTTTTTTTTCACAACCACTCTCTGCAACAAAAATCAATTACCTGAAAGCCATAATAATACCATGGATCCATTTTTAGAAATTCTTCGCCATTAATTTTTGCCCTAAATTTTGAATAATATCTTTAAGATTAAAGTTAGGAATATTGGTGCTCCATCCTAAAACATACATATATTATATATTATATTATAAATATACACAAATCAATGTGAAAAGAGTTTTTATAATAACAAAATGTATTGATTAAATAAAGGAATCTTACCTTCTCCTATCCCTTCTGCACCATTAACAAGAACCATTGGGATAATTGGTACATACCATTTTGGTTCAATACTTTTGCCATCTTCAATCATCATCTAAACAAAAGATCATATGTGCAAATGATGTAAGGCCTGTATAAATATAATAAGAATTGGCTGCATTCTCTATTTTATTAATAAATGAATTTAAAATAATTGATTAGCTTGTGTTACCAGAATTAGATTTTGATGCAGATCTTTTGATCGAATCTCTTAAGGGTAGAGTATACGTAACACGAATCTAATATGATCTACAATGGCTAATTTTGATTTTATCCAGTTAAAAGAGTAAGCCACATATTAAAGACAAATAAAAAATAAATAAAATTGTACAAATTTTATATCTTTAGCCTCTCAAGATTCCGAGTTTTAATTTAATATACAAACCATAAAAAATTATTCTATTCTTGCTAGAGTTATTACAACTTTAAAGTCAAACCTATTTTCAGATTACTAATTAAAATTCTCAGATTACTAATTAAACATAGTAAAATTATAAGTGAATGTATAGAAACACTAAGTAAATGCTAATTAAACAATATACAAACACTGGTTAAGAACAGTAAAACTGTAAATGAATATATAAATTCTAATTAAATTATAAATATTTTATCAATGCATGCTAATCATTATAGAATTTATTATATGTATTAATATAAGATATATTTTATAGAAACAATAATTTTTATAACAAATATATTATTAAATCTCAAAGGATAATTATTTATTTTTAAAGTGTAACAAAAGTTGATATCATATACAAAATGCATTAATTACCTGATTGGTCATGATCATCAGGCTTCCATATCGCAAGTCTTTTATTGAGTTATATTCATACTTTGTCTTCCAAACCAAGGATCTGTTGATGGCTTGTATTTCTTTATATTTACATATTTTTTTGTTGAACAAGTCTGACATTTAAAAGATTACCTTTAAGAGGGTATACACCCATTCATTGTAGCCAACAGCATCAAAACCTGCCAAGGCTAAGGCTTTGGCTGAATCACCTCCAATGCACACAATATTGGGCATTTCATGTTCCAGCACTTATTTCATCATCTAATTTTGGGATATGAATTGTAGAACTACTACAGCTGAAAATAAAAAAAAAAATAAGCTATTAATACAGTCACAAGTTGCAGTGCATCACAACCACCACCATTCTTTTTAAATAACTAGAGTGATGATGAGCAGCAATACCACCACCACCATTCTTACAATAAACAACACTTACCTGAATGAACTTTTAATATCTTCTTGTTGATTTCTTTTATTTTGTTGTTTTTGTTGGGTCAAATTTTTTTTTTTTAAAATAAAAAAAGAAACGATTTTTTATTTGATTGACTGACAAACATGTCTAATTATTTATGTATGGAACCCCCCCCCCTTGATTTTTTTTGTTGATGCAATTGATTTTTTTTTTGGAAAAAAAAATTTATTTTTGACAGATGACAAAGCGAAAATAGCAGGTTTCCCTGTGATTGGCTAATTTTATTTTGTGAAGATGACGATCATTACCAAATAAATTTTTATTTAACAATATAAAAAAATGATAAAAATACATTTAATAAAAAAATAACATTATTGATATTATATAGTTCCTAAAATTTTGAATGATAGTAGTCAACTAAAAGAAATTTTGACCAACTAGTAGTCAACTAAGGATTTTTTGGACGATTCCAACCTCTAGCTTGGAATAGTTCTTCCCCTTCGAAAACTGATAAATATTGTGATTTGGATGAATGTAAGCTATCTCATGTTTATGGTTGTACCTTAGCATGTGGACATTATGAATGTTTTTTATTGAATCTTTCAAGTCAATGTCAATGTTGTAATGATTTACTAAAAAAAGGAATTATTGATAATAGTAATAGTTTTCAAAATAATGTCAGCTCTTTTGACAATTTGGACTTAGAAGAAAATGAAGATAACATAATTGAAACAAGTGATGATGAAAGTATTTCTTTAGACTCTAATATAGATTCAATTTTAAATAATCATTTACTATCATTCAAAATTTTAGGAACTATATAATATCAATAATGTTATTTTTTTAAATGTATTTTTATCATTTTTTTATATTGTTAAATAAAAATTTATTTGGTAATGATTGTTATTTTCACAAAATAAAGTTAGCCAATCACAGGGAAAGCCCACTATGTTGATGATAATAATAAACTGTGAAATAATCTTGATTCTATACTCTTCAATCTTTTAGTGATGGAAGCAACTTTTGTGTTTTTTATTCATGCTGTTGGACAATGATATGGTTGCTTGCAAAAACTCCTCTGGAAATCAATTGGCAGAATTTTGGCAGAGTTTTGCATTCAGGGATTTTGACAATTAGCAGAGTTTTAGCAGGTTACACATTAATTGTTTATTAGAGTTTTGGCAGAGTTTTGGCAGTCATTAAGAGGTTTTGGCAAGCAACCTTAGATGATGATAGTGTTCCATGTCGCAATCCAAAAAAAGAAACCAAAGTGGTCACAAAGATGGTTGTAACCATCACCAAGAATTGTGACCAGCATCTACAGATGATGACAATGATTAGAGCTCTGAAACGGGTTGGGTCATGATTTAATTGACCCAGGTTTGACCCGGGTCAACATCATGTTATAATTGTCTTTAAAAGTTCAAATTTATTTTTGAAACTAGTATAGATACTAATAAATGGATAAAAATAAATGGCAAAATAACAATTTTGACATTAAAAAAATCAATAATTGATGCAAGTGTTTATGTAAAATAAAA